CTGTCAGCACATAGCCAGATGCAGGGCTCAAACCCACAAACTGAGATCATGATCCGAGCTGAAGTCGGACTCATAACCAACTGAGCCACTCAGGCGCCCGGAGAAAATTGTTTTTGAAGTACCAACTATGATCATGGATTTGTCTATTTTCTTTTTATTTTTTTCAAATTTTGCTTTACATATTTTAGGGCATATTATTGGAGGCCCTATAAATTTGTCACAGTTATATTTTCTAATTGAATTTATTTTTTCATCATTATAAAGTATTCCTATTTATCTCTAGTAATATGTACTACCTTAAAGTTTACTTTATCTGATATAAGAAAGCTATACTGACTTTCTTTGGACTAGTATCTTCATTATATATATATTCTCATCCTTATGCTGTCAGTCGTTTTGTGTTCTCATATTTAAGATAAATATGGTACTTGTAAGAGGTACCATATGGTTGGGTTTTGTTTTCAATCTGACAATTTTTTACTTTAGAGTGGTATGTTTATGGGGGCCTAGAAGGCTCAGTCAGTTGAGTGTCCTACTCTTGATTTCAGCTCAGGTCATGATCTCATGATTGTGAGATCAAGTCCCACCTCGGCTCCGCACTGAGTGTGGAGCCTGCTTAAGAGTCTCCCTCTCCCTTTGCCTCTCTCCTACTTCTTCGCTCTCTCTTTCTCTCACTCACTCAATAAATTTTTAAAAATATTAAAACATGTGGGTGTCCCAAACATTTCATGGGACATCTTATTTAAAAAATAAATAAATAGGGGCGCCTGGGTGGCTTAGTCGGCTAAGCGTCCGACTTTCGCTTGGGTCATGATCTCGCGGTTCGTGGGTTCGAGCCCTGCGTCGGGCTCTGTGCTGACTGCCAGGCTCTGAGCCTGGCAGTCAGCACAGAGCCTGGAGCCTATTTCAGAGTCTGTATCTCCCTCTCTCTCTGACCCTCCCCTGCTCACGCTGTCTCTCTCTCTCTCTCTCTCCCTCCTAGAAATAAATAAAAATGTTTAAAAAATAAATAAAGTGATATGCTTTTTCCATTTGCATGCAACATTACTAATATGTTAGGTCTTAATCAATATCTTATTTTTTGCTTCTATTTGTTCTGTTATTTATTCCTATTTTCTCCCCTTTTGTTGCCTTTTCTGGATCTTTTATCTTGCTGTATTAACTTGTAAAAGATCATTTGTCTTTTAATGGTCACCCTAAAGGTAACAACATGCATTTTTTACTTATTACAGTCTAAAATTACTAAAAACTAATACTTTTCTAGATACAGGAAAGGAAAGCACCTTAAATTCTTTAACCTCATTTACTTTCTGTCTTCTGTGTGATTGTTGTCATACTTTAATTCTACCTATAATGTAAACCAAATAGACACTTTTATTATTACTTTTAATATTTTCATCCTTTCTAATATCATTCATTTCTTTTTACATGTCTCTACTTCCCATCTGGGGTTATTTTCTTTCTGCTTGCATAGCATTCTTCAGTACTATTTTACTGCTGATATTAAATTATCTCAGTTTTTATCTGTCTGAAAGTACTTACAATTTTTCTTTATTTTAAAAGCTATTTTTGCTGAATATAGTATTCTGAACTGAAAGTTATTTTCTTTTAGCATCTAAGAAATTGTATCTACTGTCTTATGACTCCCGTAATTTCTATTGAAAAGTCAGCATATGAACCTCACTGCTTCTCCTTTTAAAGGAATGTACCTTTTTTCTCTAGCTACTTTTGAGGGTTTTTTTTTTCCCTCTGTCTTTGATTGTTAAGTACTTTTGCTATAATGGACCTAGTTGTGATTTTCTTTCTATTTCATCTTTCTTAAGGTTTGTAAAACATTTTGACTCTGTGGTTTGATATCTTCTGTCACTTTACAAAAGTCTCAGCCATTATCTCCTTGATATTTTTTTTTTGCTTCAATATCTTCCTTTTTCCTCTAGATCTCCAATTTACATTAGAAAATTTTCATCAGGTCGCACATGTCTCAAGTTATTTTCTGTATTTTTCCAACACTTTTTCTCTCTAAGCTTCACTTGTTTTCTACCATTTCTAGTTCTTTTATTCTCCCCCTTACTCACAAACCTATTAATTTCCTAATTTCGATCTGTATCTTTTGTTCTAAAATTTCCATTTAATTATTATTCATTCCAGTTCTCTGAATATGCTCTGCATTCTAAATATATTTTAACATATTAATAGAATTATCTTAAAGTCAATATCCAGTAACTCCACTATCTGAGTAATCGTGGAGTCTGTATTATTAATGATTGCTTATTTACCATCATTTGGCATTGTTTCTTGGCATAACAGATCTTTTTTTATTGATTTCTGGACACTGTGCATGACAGCTTGTAGAAGCTCTTCATGATGCTGTCTTCCTCCAGACCATATTCAATTTTCTTTTGTTAGGCAGTTAAATAGGGGCAAATGCCTTTCTTTCACGCAGAGATTTAAGAGTATTTCAGGCTGGATTTTAAGCTTTATATTATATGGACTCTTTCTGTTTACTGTCACCCACAGGGTATCTCAGGGCCCCTCTTCCTTGGCAGGGAGGGCCTCAACTCCAATTTTTTCTCGCCTGTACTATGAGACCCCCGAAACCATTGTTTGACTTTTTAATCTCTTAAAAGTTATTTTATACTTGTTTTCTTGGCTGCTGGCCCTAAGAATGCATGGGTTAGTAGCTAGCAAGTATCTTAAAAGAAAATTATGAGCAGAATATCAGGCTCTTTTTTGGGGGGAGGGGATTTCTATCTCTATGAGAGTCTTGGATGACTTGGAAGTCCTGACCTCTCATTTTTGTCTCCCCAGTAGTGAGACTTCATCAGGCTCTAGGCTGCTCTCTGCCCTGTCTCTATTCTTTTCACTAAGAACTTGGCAATTTCCCTGAATGGAAAAAAACAACTGAGTTATATATAGATCTCACTTTAATGCATTTTTCTTCTCACTGGGATTGGGCCCTCAACTCTTTGTTGTCTTGGCTGCTGTCTGAAGTCTTTAAATAACTTTTTTTTTGTATTTTATCCATTTTTATAGTTAAATGAATCTTGTCAATGGCTCAGTTCCAATAAAGTTAGAAAACATTCAGTGGTCTGCTCCCAGCCCAGTGATTCTTATAAGGAGTCCAAGACTTGTCTCCATAATGACCAGGCAGATCACTTCTTCAGTTTTTTTCTTTCTTTCTTTCTTTTTCTTAAATAGTTTATTGTCAAGTTGGTTTCCATATAACACCCAGTGCTCATCCCCAAAGTGCCCTCCTCCCTGCGCGCCCTTCCCTCTCCCCCACCCCCATCAGCCCCCAGTTTGTTCTCAGCATTCAAGAGTCTCTCATAGTTTGCCTCCCTCCCTCTTCCCAACTATTTTTCCCTACTTCTCCCCCATGGTCCTCCATTAAGTTCCTCCTAATCCACCTATACATCTAAAGGTTTTCAAACACATAGATTCAGTTCCAGTGACAGACCTGGGACTCATGAAAACCACTGCTGGGTAAACCTTGCTGTCAGGACACCCTCATATATACAACAGAAACATTAACCACTGGCATATCAGGTATGCACTAAGTTGGGGATACTTCTTTGCAGTGTTAAATGTTCCTCTGCTACATTGCTTTTCATAAGAATAAGTCAAGACACTCAAACTCACTATTAAGTGCATTATTGGAAGATGACCTTCTAGCCTACCATGAAGGCTAGAATGACACATTTGCTTTAACCCCACAAGTTTCTGATTTCTCATGTACCCTGAGCTGAAAATACAAAATTTAGTGGTAAAAGGACTGCAGAGCCCTTACCAGATACCAGATACCATAGAGCTGTACAAGATACCATAGAGCCAATGAAACCCAGCATTTCAGTTTGAAAATGATCAGTGATCAGTTTGGATCACCCCATGTTTAATTTTTTACAGTCTCCTCCTTTGCTTGATATATGTACCCCTTCTTGTTGCTGACCTGATTCACTCCATAGATTTTCACATTCTGGTTTCCCCCTGAACAGCAAATAGTATCTTTTCATCTATTGCTAACCTACCTCTCATCTTCCTCCTTCCCCAGTCCATAATTCCAGCTGTCCTTTGAAAACTTGCTCATGTTTTCTTTAATTATCAATTCAACCTGTTTTGGGCTCTACTTCATTCACAATGACCCAATCATACATGAATTTCACATATACAGCATTATGTGATCTTCCTTCAATTTATTTCTCTCTGCTTCATATATGATTACTAAGAAGATGGATTAACTTTGCAAAACCTATTTTAAATCATTTACAAAATGGTTTCTAGTCTCTATAATCTTCCTCTTTCCAACATGAAAGATTTCTCCCAATTATGGTAATTCAGTTTTTAAAAGGATGTTGGTAGAATCCTACTCAAGCCTCTACATATAAATTATATTGAATAATTCTTCTTTATCCATATGGATGGATTTAATGACTTATTGATTGATCAGGAAGATTTCCTTTATAATAATGATAACACATTATAATATGAATTCTGTTTCTTAAGAATGCAGAGGTTCAAGTATTAAGGTGTTGCCCTTTTTCTAGGTAAGCAGGCAAGCCCCTGCTGGCCTGAACTTCCTGGATATCTTAAGGAGTCCAATCCTGGATCTGTGGATTTTGAGGAACTATACAGAAGGCACACCAGTCTTCTGGCCCAGTGATTACTGCAAACCAGGTGTTACAGCCCAGCCATCTTCTTTGTTAATTTCCCCCTTGAGGCTCTCCAAGTCATAAAATGGATCTTATTACACATCAGAAACTTATTTACATATAGATCATATATTTCTCTAGAACATCCTGAGTATTTGCCACTGTTTGCTCTAATACTTCTTTCTTATCTTTATTAAACATTTTGACAGTTTCTCCCAAAAGCCAACCCCAGCCCAGGGCAGCTAATTCATTGAGTAAATTTATTTTTCTCTTTATTTCTTTTTTCCTCAAACTCCCTTCACATAATTCCTTGGGGCCCCCTGAAGTTTTCTGCCATATTCGGCCTTCACTTACCCAGGTGACTGACGGCTTCCTTGTCCCAAGGCCAGGTGGCAGCACCTGCAAGGTCTTCCCGCACTGAGCTAGCAAAGTAGACATTGAGGAAGTGAGTACTGTTGAGCTGCAGTGCCTCCTTCAGCTCCTTCACACTCATGTACGCCCTGGACAGCACACAAGAGGGGAACATGTCACGCCAAAGGATCAGTACATAGAAAACAGCAGAATCAGACCTACTCAGACTCTCCCAGCCAGCATGGCCCTTTAGAGGGCAGAGCGGCAGAGAGCAGGCTGTCGTGAGGATCACAGAAAAGGCACTAGTACACATTTGGCATATTTTATTCCAATATAAATGATGTCCTACCTTTTTAGCACTATATTATTTATATGAATACTCAGTATTTGATGTCATGCTCAATTCCTACTCTACATCTAGGTTATTTTTTCAAGATAAGCCTAATGATAGTTCTAATTATTTGCCCAGAGTTTTAACTCCAGGCCATGTTGAAGAAGGCCTTTCAACTCTTGGTTCCTGGTTCGTTCTATCACACTGCATGAATATTACTATGATTAGAGGACCAATTGAATTTCTATTTCAGTATATGCTTACTTTGGGCCTTATTTAAAAAAAATAACAGTGCCTACAAAACATAAAGTAAAAACAGGAAAAAGAAAAGATGCGTTATGGGTAGGAAAAGCTATCATAAAGGAATTGCAAAGAATGTTAATTGTATATTGTGTTTTCTTTCTAGTCCCTTAATCTGTAGAATCCACTCCAACTTCAACTACCTTATGCTATTTACCAAGTATCTTTTCTGATGGCCTTCAAAGCACTATACAATATTACGTTTGCACTTAGGCACAGAATTAAAGGCCTATTAAAAACACCTGCCATATGGCCCATAAAAAAAGGGAAACAAGCATGCTATCTCCTTATAAGCTCATACATAGTCACAGACCTTCCTCTTCCTTGCATCAGTGAAACTTTAAACTTACCATAAGCAAGCAGACTCACTCAACATTCTCATTGAGGAGCTATTTTAAAAACAAACAACTAAAGCAGAGCTCAGTGACCCTTTGGATCCACAGGATGCTTCCCGTAGTTACCATGGTCTGCCCCTCATAAAGGGGAATGTCTCTATCACAGCTTGAACTGGGCAGACAACTCCCTCAACATTAGTTGGAAATTTCCTTCACAGATCATGCTTCATTGCTTCTATTCCGATAGACCAGCTGAAATCCAGAAGCTCATGTTAGGGCAGCATGACCCTTCCTCTCTTGCTTGCTCTGCCTCCCAACCACACTGCTGATGCAATCTATTTAATCCACATGTAGGATACACTGGCAAGGAGTACCCAAGAAATAGAGATCCCAAAGAAGATTGTTTTTGTGTTCTTTGGAATAGAACCAAAAAAGGGGAAGAAAAGTTAAGAGACAAAAAAAGAGTTTGCTTTAGAACCACAGATACTTGGGAGAAAAGAGATTTAAAAAATACTTTTTCATATTGACTTATACCATCTTGGAAAAATAGTTCTAAGCTCCAAGAAATCATCCAAATTCCATGAGGTGATGTCAGATGTAATCATAGGGATATTCCTTCTGTTGCTTTCCTGGAGACACAATGTTTTTTGGACTGTCGACTGGTTTTCCCTGGATATTAGTCACATTCTCTTTCCCTTTCTCCTTTATTAAAAAATAATGACAATTTCCTGTATTGACAAATTGATGGTTTGGAGGTATGATGACATCAAGTAATTCTTCAACACGGAGATGCAGGCCAGAAGAAAGGAGCAGAGAGATCATGAATGGGGGAAGGGAAGGGAAGATAAGGGAAGGGAAGATAGGGAAGGGAAGGGAAGGGAATAAGGTTAGAGAGAATCAGAGACTGAGCCTACACACAGCTCAGGGTACCAAAAAAGACAAGTCACACCCTTTCTCTGTTCCTATTCCAGAGTTCCCATTAAAATTGGGAGTTGGTAATTTGACAGTTTTTTCTCTTTTCTCCTTCCTCACTTTCCTCAAATCCCCCTGCTCCTGGCATGGTTTACTTGGGCTATCTGTGTGTTACAGGCTTCTCTGTCTGCCATTTACCAGTCTTGGCTGCCATCCTTCTGTCCTCCCTCAACCCAGCAATTGCACTAATCTCCCTTGAGCACAGTCCAAGACGCCTCCTCCTCCACCACCAGCCTCATTAGCTGGTTCTACTCATCTCCCTTTTTCTTCTCTGCCCAATCCTCTCTCAAGCCATAAATTGCTCTTCCAGATGAGAGTGTTTATGTCACGCTGGTGGCAAATTGGGTGTGGCTGCTCTGACTGCTGCACTCCACAGAGATATATGTAGAGAGAAATCAGCACATATAAGGGGGAGAAAACATTTTAAAAAGTTAAAGACAGCTGGAAATAGTCATTAAATGAACTGGTAGAAGATAACCTTATTTTGTTGGAAACAAAGATTTTTTTTCTAGATTATTCCTTAATCTAAAAATGGTAACGCCATCTTAAGGCTTATCAGTGTGTCTGCTTTACATGTGGGATGCCTTGCTTATTATAACATGTACACCTTTTCAGAAGCTAGTCAGCGCTAATAAAGATAAACATCTTACTAACGTGACCAGAGCCTGGCTTAGAACTAGGGAATGAAAAAAAAATGGATATTACTCTTAAATTCAGAGCGTTAACATCTTGCTTTAGAAATGATTTATTAAGAGAGAGACTTGACATCCAAAATAACTTAATATTCAAGGAAAGGTCACAAAATATACATAAATGCCATAAAAAGCATACATGCCTTGAACTGACAAGACTGTATGGAAAGGGAGATGAACTGAATTAATCTGTTTGATTTCTGCCGGGATCTTGGCTCATATTCTCCATACCCTAGACTCTCTGAGGTCTCAGATCAACCAAAGTGAAATTGTGTTTTGATTTTTATAAAAACTGTCCAGAAACAAGTTCTGCTTGAGGTGGACGTATCAAGTTGTTCTCCCCACTGCTCAAGTCTGTTATTTATGAAATGGCCCCTGGAAGAATGCATACCCGCCTTACCATTTTAGGACAGTGATCTACTGGTTTGGGATTAACCACTGCCTGGTATCCAGTGCCTGTGTTTCTTTGTCCCCCAGACTTAGTACATTCATTTTGATCCATGCCATGGCCCCTTGACTGCTAATTCCCAGCCACACCCCAGTGTCTAGGAGAACATGACACCCCAACTTTTGCTTAGTTTCTGAGTAAAAGTGAAAGAATATAAAACGTGCTTATTTGTGCTATAGCTTAATAGTCAGTTGAATAACTAATTGCTTTATAGACTGATAGAGATAATTTCAAGAATGAGGGCAGAAAGAAAAAGATCATGAGCTGTCTGAAGGACATTAAGCCAGTATCAAAAATCGGCCTGCTAAAAAACAAGACATAAAGGATGCACGTGTGCCCTGAGATCTCCCACGGCCAGAGCGAGCCCTCTCCAGAGGAAGGCCCTGACTGCATTCTACAGGTGTACGGCAGTCACCAGATACTCCCGAGGCCCTTCAGCCAACTGATGTCATGGAAACAACGGTGCCAAAGTTGGAATATTTTGGTTTGGTTAAATCAAAACCTTCCTGTCATTACTGTTCACCGTGGTTCTTTACCCAGTGTATACAGAAGCGTCCGCCACCCCATCTACCATGCACTTTGCCAACCATGCTTCCTCCTCCTGGTGAATATCACCTTTGGCCTGCTTCCCCAACCCTTTCATTGAGCCCACACCATGCGGTTTATCAGTCCACAGAGTACCGACTAGAGTTCTCCCAGTGCATCTCCTCTCAAATTCCTCCTGCTCTTAGGTGCATGGGACTCTACTACATTACCACACACTTTACTCTTCTTTTCATCTTCCCACTTCCTAGTTAGTCCATATACATCAAAGACTTCAGTGTCCCACAGCCTTCTCCTTCCCCACCTCCTATTATAACCTGAGAAATTTCAACATCTATACAAAACAACACTGAAAACAGTCTTCTTTTTGACTTCCTTAGTTCTCAATGCCCCCACACCTCATTCTCATGGTCACCCTTACTCAGAGTGGTTTTTTACTCCTGAACTATAGATCTTTAATTCTACTTGTCTCTAATTAGACTTGTTTATGGTCACCTCCTCTCCAGGAATGATTTGAGATCACCACTCTTCTCTTGCTCCTCTTCTCCTACCAATCTCGGTCTCTTAATCCCCTGACTGTTAGTAAATGATCATGGCTCCTTCTCCAATGATAAAATTGAAGCCATTCATCATGAACGCTAACAGACACACACACACACACACACACACACACATGCATGCACACCCTTCCTTACCTATTTTTATTCCCTTACTTCTGGTCCCACAGGATGAGGTGGGAATAATAGCAAATAATAGCTGACACCCTCTCTTTTTCCTTCTCCCTTTCCAATTCAAACTTCTTGAAAGAATAATTTCCCAATCTCCTATGTCTTTTTCTCATGTACCCCCAATCTCACTGTAACCTGCTTTCATTGGTGCCACTTTATCAAAACTGCTTCTGTTACACAGTTGCAAATGACATATCACATAAAGGGCTAGTATCCAAAATCTTTAAGGAGCTCGCCAAACTCCACACCTGAAAAACAAATAATCCAGTGAAGACATGGGCAGAAGACATGAACAAACACTTCTCCAAAGAGGACATCCAGATGGCCAACAGACACATGAAACGATGCTCAGCATCCCTCCTCATCAGGGAAATGCAAATCAAAACCACACTGAGATACCACCTCATGCCAGTCAGAGTGGCTAAAATGAGCAAATCAGAGGACTCTAGATGCTGGCGAGGATGTGGAGAAACGGGCACCCTCCTACACTGTTGGTGGGAATGTAAACTGGTGCAGCCCCTCTGGAAAACAGTGTGGAGGTTCCTCAAAAAGTTAACAGTAGAACTCCCCTATGACCCAGCAATAGCACTGCTAGGAATTTACCCAAGGGATATAGGAATGCTGAGGCATAGGAGCACATGGACCCCAATGTTCATAGCAGCACTCTCAACAATAGCCAAAACATGGAAAGAGCCTAAGTGTCCATCAACGGATGAATGGATCAAGAAGATGTGGTTCATCTATATGATGGAATACTACATGGCAATGAGAAAGAATGAAATCTGTCCATGTGTAGCAAC